ATATATATATATATATATATATATATATATATATATATATATATATATATATATATATATATATATATATATATATATATATATATATACACACACACATACACACACAAACACACATACACACACACATACACACACACACATACACACACACACATACACACACACACACACACACACACACACACACACACACACACACACACACACACACACACACACACACACACACACACACACACACACAACACACACACACACACACATATTTCAAGTCAGTTCCTAGAGTAGGTGTTAAGCACTCCACGAAAAATGTCGCAAAATCAAACTGTCAATCATTCATCCCTCCCTAACAAAATACTTCCACGCACTGCTGTACACTGCCATTCTCCCTGGTGGACCTCACGCACAGCACCACCTCACGCACAGCACCACCTCACGCACAGCACCACCTCACGCACAGCACCACTCCCATGCACTCCCTCACGCAAACCACAACCAAAACTAACATTAGCAAAAATACTACAGATAATTACTTGGTATTAGTCAGCGGTACATTTAAACTATAGTTAAAATTGTATTAATAATAAAATAGTGAAGAATAGCATTTCCAGGAGGGTGAAGAGATGACTGTATATTCTCACATATTGTTGTCCATATCTGGCGACCAGTCGTTGGAAATTCACTCAATATCATCAAGATTTAAATCGTGACTAGTGGATCATTGTACATTGTTAATATTGTTAACATTGTTAACATGCAGTACAATACTACCCATGAAGCGTGTCTGCACAACTGTACAACCTATCAGGAACTGGTATATATGCATAGATAACCTGCACATAGGAGAGAGGAGCTTACGACGACGTTTCGGTCCCAAATGGGACCGAAACGTCGTTGTAAACTCCTATTTTACTTTTTTGTTCTTCAGGTATATATGGTTTGAATAAGCATCCTAGGTCTGCTATCCTGGTATATCTTACAAGACTTGCAAATAAATCCTGAAGGCACAAGAAGAGAACTTTAAGATGATATGAAGAATTTCGAAGCTGTAGTTGAAAAAAGTGACAGATACACCTCAGTGTTAACACACGTAAACATCTAATACACAGAAAATAACAACAGTAATACCCTTAACATAGTGTGTGTAAAACGTAAATTATAGGTAATATCCACAAGTCTTTAAAATGACATACATGTAGCTTATAGGAAAGTCTTTAATAAAACAAGGGCATATACAACAGAGAGAGAGAGAGAGAGAGAGAGAGAGAGAGAGAGAAGAGAGAGAGAGAGAGAGAGAGAGAGAAGAGAGAGAGAGAGGAGGAGAGACGGAGAGAGAGAGAGAGAGAGAGAGAGAGATGCAGGGTATTTAAAATTTAACCTGACGGCCCTGTATTAGTAACCTTTCAGTCTTTTAAGATAATCCTTGTTTCGTTCCATTTCATCAGGTGGTTGTGGCTGTTCCAGTGCATGACACAACCATTGTTGACAACATAAATTATGAACGTTTATTTGTTCATCGATTCTCGTGTCCAATTACGTGCCTGTTTCTTCCACGTAAACTTTGTCACATCCTCCACGAGGTATAACAAACTCTACCTTTGGTAACGATAACGTTATTGGTTTCATAATACAGAAAATAATCAAATCAGATGTGAAAACAATGTAAATAGTTCTGGTTAACAGAAATCTTAAGCCAAGGCAGCAATGCGTGGGTGTTCACAATAAAGTTTATTTAAAATCTGGCTTCACATAAAAAAAGCCCCCCCCCCCCAAAAAAAAAAAAAAAAAAAATCCAAGGTAATACTACAACTGTCATTGGTAAGCCCTTATTTCAATTATGTAGTGTAGTTCTGGTCTCCATTTTACAGACTGGACCCAAATGCGCTGGAAAACATACAGAGAAGGATAATAAAGTTAATATCCTGTACTAGGATTGGTCCCTACAAACGCAGATCAAGAGCACTGAACTTATGTAATCTAGAGTCGAATAAAACTATGGAAGATATGGTAAAGTATATAAACGTAAAGAAGAAACGAAGAAATAAGATGCTACAATGGATTCACACAGGAAAAATTAAGATTTAGAAAGGTTAATGGAAAGCGCTGGTCTGTCAGCAAAATTGTGGAGAAGTGAAGAACTACCAAGTAGATTTATTGAAGCAAATTCTTTATTCAGCTTTAAATATAAGTTAGATACACGCGTAGGAATGATTGCATGAGAGAGACCTGCCTAGCATGGATCAGTTATTTTACTGCAGTGCTCTTCTCTTAAAGTATTAGAATTACACACGATCGAGAGAGAAATATAAGACCATTCCAGCAGCCAGATTCTGGAATAGACCCATGACATGTTCTGTAAGTCAACATAAATTTCAGTAGCCAGACTCTGGAAAAGCCACAAAACACGTTCTGCAGGTCAACATCTTCCAGAGTTTAACTATAAGACATGTTCAAGAGATTAACATACACAGTTTCAGCAGCCAGACTCTGGAAAAGCCGCATGATATGTTCCAGAAGTCAACATAGGCGATTCCAGCAGCCAGATTATGGAAGAGTCACATGTTCCAGAGGCCAGCATGGACCATTCCAGCAGCCACATTCTGGAAAACCACAAGACATGTTCCAGAGGTCAGCATGGACCATTCCAGCAGCCACATTCTGGAAAAAATCACAAGACATGTTCCAGAAGTCAGCATAGACCATTCCAGCAGCCAGTCTCTGAAAGAGCCACAACTGCGTTCAAGCCAAGAGTCTTGTAGCTGGCGCCAGATAGTTCCAGGTTCCTGGAACTCCGGGGGGTCCGTGTTCGCATGAGAGCCAAGATTAAATGTTCATTAAAAATTCGGAAACTATTGTCGAGAGCGAAGATATTGAGTCTTGGTCCATCAGGTATCGAATATATGATTTACAGCGCATGATGTGGGCGTGTATATGTGTATTGTCTGAACATAAACATGTCTATTTAATGTGGCACACGGCGTAATTGTGGGGTGGTGCTGGACTCTAGCATGCATGTCTGCCACAACACGCGGGGCATGTAGGCGCAAGAGACGCAGATGTGGAGAAAGAGAGGAGGAGAGAGAGAGAGAGAGAGGAAGAGAGAGAGAGAGAGAGAGGAGAGAGAGAGAGAGGAGAGAGGGGAGAGAGAGAGAGATGAGAGAGAGAGAGAGAGGAGAGAGAGAGAGAAGAGAGAGAATGAGAGAGAGAGAGAGAGAGAGAGAGAGAGAGAGAGAGAGAGAGAGAGAGAGAGAGAGAGAGAGAGAGAGAGAGAGAGAGAGAGAGAGAGAGAGAGAGAATGAGAGAGAGAATCCCACCTGCTCAAATACGTCAAGTGTACACATCTCAGTCCTGCTGCTTACCATTGTATTTACACAGCACTTGAATGGTCGCCTGTTCGTGTTGTGTTAGTGTACTCGCCTATTTGTGGTTGCAAAAGTCGAGTCTCAGCTCCTGGCCCCGCCTCTCCACTGTCCACTACTGGTTTCCCCTCTCCTGACTACACGAGCCCTCTACCACTTCGCTCTCTAGGCCGGGCCACTTTCTGGCGACTCTAAAGTTAAAGAAGCATTTCCTAACATCCCTGTGACTCATCTGTGCTCTTAACTTCCAGCTGTGCCCTCGTGTACCTGATTCCTGCCTCTCAAACAGACTCGCCCTGTCAATCTCTCAGTATTCCGTGCGTTACGTGGCACCTTGGTCATTGTGTTTAGCTCCAATAGCTTCTTTTCATAGCTTATGTACCTTAACTTTCAGCAAAATCTCATTGCAAACTTTTGCATTTCTTTCCAGTTTAACGTGCTGTGTCAGATGTGAGTTTCATTCTGGTGCTGAACGATCTGCATGGGTTTAGCGCTCCATTAAATATATTCATTAATTTTATATCGTCTGCGAAGGTTACATTTTCTGGGATGTCTTTCACATGTACCAAATACAGTACTGGCCCCAGTACCGATCCTTGTAGAACCCCACTTGTTACACCGTCCCAGTCTGATAAATCATTTCAATGTCTTCCAGATATCTGGCAATTACCCCATATCAACTGACGTGTTGATTTTAGCTAGCAGTTCTGACAGCAGCTCTGCTTTCTCTCATAGAAACCACGGTGACACTTGTCATGTCCCACTGTGTGTGCGTGTGTTGGCGCGTGCATAGGTGTGCATGTTGGTGTGTATGTCAGGGTGAGTGACCGTGAAGTGGTGATGGTGTGGAGGCAGTGCGTGCCTGGCACTGCCGTACCTTGCTGCGAATCAAGGAGAATCAATATTCAATGTCGCGAGGTGAAGCAGTTACGGGAAGACTCCTGAAACTAATGTACCGTGAGTGGCACGTTGAAGAACACTCACTTAACACCTGAATACCACTACTGCTGCCCAGCCTCACTCATACCCCCACTACTGCCCACCCTCACTCACACTACTACTGCTGCCCAGCCTCACTCACACCACTACTGCTGCCCAGCCTCCCTCACACCACTACTGCTGCCCAGCCTCCCTCACACCACTATTGCTGCCTAGCCTCACTCACCCCCACTACTGCCCAGCCTCACTTACATTACTACTGCTGCCCAGCCTCACTCACACCACTACTGCTGCCCAGCCTCCCTCACGCCACTACTGCTGCCCAGCTTCCCTCACACCACTATTGCTGCCTAGCCTCACTCACCCCACTACTGCCCAGCCTCACTTACATTACTACTGCTGCCAGCCTCACTCACACCACTACTGCTGCCCAGCCTCCCTCACACCACTACTGCTGCCTAGCCTCACTCACCCCCACTGCTGCCCAGCCTCACTTATATCCAGCTTATTGGTCAACTCACCAATATGAGCTCTAGATCCAGCTTTCAACCTCTTTCTAAAATCCTTCATCTGCAGAGTCCTACGTAGACACTGCTACACCTTCACAACCATCACACGAACACACATCTTTATAAATATGCTCATAACTAATTTACTGCACGTGATTAACTCTTAACGTGTATCCACTCGTTCTGGTACCTTATTAAACCTTTAGTCTGCTTGTGATGCGGTTATCCTGAACGCTGTGATACTCTCCTCTGCCCTCATCTCTGATTTCTAGCCTTTTCTAAGCTGCCTGCTGTCTGCTGTGTCCTACACCCGGCTGTAGTCGCACCAAGTGTGCTGTCTCTACTTCACGTCTCCTGCCTTGATAGTGAATCTTGATAACCTCACAACACTTGTGTCCTGCCACACAATCTCTTGATATTATTATACTAAATACGACTTTTTTTATATAACCTGCAGCATAGGTAGCTAAAGTTAAGACATTATTCAGCCTACTGGGCGACCCCAGAATTGTCTTCACTTAGCCACTTACACTCTCCTAGACTGCCATAAAGCTATATATACTCTTGACTGCTACATTTAAGGTGAGCAGACTGGTAGATATAGAATGAAATTCACGGCTGGTACCAGTTCAAACGCCTAAATTACCGAGAGTGTCTAAAATTCCTCAAACTGAACTTCATGGAACAGAGGCGAGAAAGATGCATCATAATTTACACACCTGGACACTGAAATACCAGAGGCATAATAGTGTGTGTAACACACCCCAGTCATAACTCAAGACCGCAACAAGTACATTGAAAAATAACTCAGTACACAAAGAGATAATAATCTTTATTTCTACAAGTACATGTACAAGGTATACAAGCCTAGCTGACATCAGTCACATACTACATGTACAAGGTATACAAGCCTAGCTGACATCAGTCACATACTACATGTAAAAGGTTACAAGCCTAGCTGACATCAGTCACATACTACATGTACAAGGTATACAAGCCTAGCTGACATCAGTCACATACTACATGTACAAGGTATACAAGCCTAGCTGACATCACTCACATACTACATGTACAAGGTATACAAGCCTAGCTGACATCACTCACTACTACATGTACAAGGTATACAAGCCTAGCTGACATCACTCACATACTACATGTACAAGGTATACAAGCCTAGCTGACATCACTCCACATACTACATGTACAAGGTATACAAGCCTAGCTGACATCACTCACATACTACATGTACAAGGTATACAAGCCTAGCTGACATCAGTCACATACTACATGTACAAGGTATACAAGCCTCGCTGACATCACTCACATACTAAAATGTACAAGGTATACAAGCCTAGCTGACATCAATCAACATACTACATGTAAAAGCTATACAAGCCTAGCTGACATCACTCACATACTACTGTACAAGGTATACAAGCCTAGCTGACTCACTCAAATACTACATGTACAAGGTATACAAGCCTAGCTGAACATCACTCACATACTACATGTACAAGGTATACAAGCCTAGCTGACATCAGTCACATACTACATGTACAAGGTATACAAGCCTAGCTGACATCAGTCACATACTACATGTACAAGGTATACAAGCCTAGCTGACTAAGTCACATACTACATGTACAAGGTATACAAGCCTAGCTGACATCAGTCACATACTACATGTACAAGGTATACAAGCCTAGCTGACATCAGTCACATACTACATGTACAAGGTATACAACCCTAGCTGACATTCACTCACATACTACATGTACAAGGTATACAAGCCTAGCTGACATCACTCACATACTACATGTACAAGGTATACAAGCCTAGCTGACATCAATCACATACTACATGTACAAGGTATACAAGCCAAGCTGACATCAGTCACATACTACATGTACAAGGTATACAAGCCTAGCTGACATCAATCACATACTACATGTACAAGGTATACAAGCCTAGCTGACATCAGTCACATACTACATGTACAAGGTATACAAGCCTAGCTGACATCACTCACATACTACATGTACAAGGTATACAAAGCCTAGCTGACATCACTCACATACTACATGTACAAGGTATACAAGCTTAGCTGACATCAGTCACATACTACATGTACAAGGTATACAAGCCTAGCTGACATCACTCACTACTACATGTACAAGGTATACAAGCCTAGCTGACATCAGTCACATATACATGTACAAGGTATACAAGCCTAGCTGACATCAGTCACATACTACATGTACAAGGTATACAAGCCTAGCTGACATCACTCACATACTACATGTACAAGGTATACAAGCCTAGCTGACATCACTCACATACTACATGTACAAGGTATACAAGCCTAGCTGACATCACTCACATACTACATGTACAAGGGTATACAAGCCTAGCTGACATCAGTCACATACTACATGTACAAGGTATACAAGCCTAGCTGACATCACTCACATACTACATGTACAAGGTATACAAGCCTAGCTGACCAACTCACATACTACATGTACAAGGTATACAAGCCTAGCTGACATCAGTCACATACTACATGTACAGGTATACAAGCCTAGCTGACATCACTCACATACTACATGTACAAGGTATACCAAGCCTAGCTGACATCACTCACATACTACATGTACAAGGTATACAAGCCTAGCTGACATCACTCACATACTACATGTACAAGGTATACAAGCCTAGCTGACATCAGTCACATACTACATGTACAAGGTATACAAGCCTAGCTGACATCACTCACATACTACATGTACAAGGTATACAAGCCTAGCTGACATCACTCACATACTACATGTACAAGGTATACAAGCCTAGCTGACATCAGTCACATACTACATTGTACAAGGTATACAAGCCTAGCTGACATCAGTCACATACTACATGTACAAGGTATACAAGCCTAGCTGACATCACTCACATACTACATGTACAGGTATACAAGCCTAGCTGACATCACTCACATACTACATGTACAAGGTATACAAGCCTAGCTGACATCAGTCACATACTACATGTACAAGGTATACAAGCCTAGCTGACATCAGTCACATACTACATGTACAAGGTATACAAGCCTAGCTGAATCCTCACATACTACATGTACAAGGTATACAAGCCTAGCTGACATCACTCACATACTACATGTACAAGGTATACAAGCCTAGCTGACATCACTCACATACTACATATACAACGTATACAAGCCTAGCTGACATCACTCACATACTACATGTACAAGGTATACAAGCCTAGCTGACATCAGTCACATACTACATGTACAAGGTATACAAGCCTAGCTGACATAAGTCACATACTACATGTACAAGGTATACAAGCCTAGCTGACATCAGTCACATACTATGTACAAGGTATACAAGCCTAGCTGACATCAGTCACATACTACATGTACAAGGTACACAAGCCTAGCTGACATCAATCACATACTACATGTACAAGGTATACAAGCCTAGCTGACATCAGTCACATACTACATGTACAAGGTATACAAGCCTAGCTGACATCAATCACATACTACATGTACAAGGTATACAAGCCTAGCTGACATCAGTCACATATACATGTCAAGGTATACAAGCCTAGCTGACATCAGTCACATACTACATGTACAAGGTATACAAGCCTAGCTGACATCAATCACACACTACATGTACAAGGTATACAGGCCTAGCTGACATCAATGACATACTACTATACAAAAAGCCCCTTATTATGCAGAACATTTCGAGCAAATTAGGTCAATTTTGTCTCCAGGATGCAACCCACACCAGTCGACTAACACCCCGTACCGGGGATCGAACCATGGACCTCAGTATGTGAGGTGAGTGCACTAACAACCGAGCTAATCAAGCACAGAGAGCTGAACACTGCTCAACATCTTCCCATCAAACATAAGGGAAGGAACCTGAAGGTTATCAGGGGTTAACCCAGCCTCCTGGTGGACCAGGACCTGATCAACCAGACTGTTACTTCTGCTAGCACGCAGTCCACTATACAAACCACAGCCCGGCTGATCAGGGACTGACTTGGGGAACTTATTAAGTACAGTCTTGAAGACAACCAGGGGTCTTGAAGACAACCAGGGGTCTTGAAGACAACCAGGGGTCTTGAAGACAACCAGGGGTCTTGAAGACAACCAGGGGTCTTGAAGACAACCAGGGGTCTCGAAAACAACCAAGGGTCTTCAACACAACAAAGGGTCTTGAAGACAACCAGGGGTCTTGAAGACAAGCAGGGGTCTTGAAGATAACCAAGGGTCTTGAAGACAACAAAGGGTCTTGAAGACAACAAAGGGTCTTGAAGACAACCAGGGGTCTTGAAGACAACCAGGGGTCTTGAAGACAACGAAGGGTCTTGAAGACAACCAGGGGTCTTGAAGACAACCAGGGGTCTTGAAGACAACCAGGGGTCTTGAAGACAACCAGGGGTCTTGAAGACAACCAGGGGTCTTGAAGACAACCAGGGGTCTTGAAGACAACCAGGGGTCTTGAAGACAACCAAGGGTCTTGAAGACAACCAGGGGTCTTGAAGACAACCAGAAGTTTGGTGGTAATCTCCCTTATGAAGGATGGCCGGTGATACTGTCAGTATTCTCTGCCTTTCATTCCTCCTCTCCTACGTGTTTCTAGAAACACTCTCAAGGTTCATACCTTGTAGTCTCAAGGTTCATACCTTGTAGTATGACACAGTGAAGGAAGCTCAGAGATCCTCCTACCCTTGTAACACTTGCTAGTTCGGTATCAACCTCGGTAACTGATACCCACAAAATGGCTTTAAAAAGATAGGTAAGCAAATACTAGGATATACTTATTAGAAAACATTTCGGTCTTGGGACCTTGATTACTTCTAAGTGATCAAGGTCCCAGGACCGAAACGTTTTCTAATAAATATGTCGTAGTGTTTCCTCACGTGACAACACTGACGTTATCCTCGCTTCTTCTTCTTCTTCTTCTTCTTCTCTCGGTCTCAATGTCCATCTTTATTTGCCTTCCTTTATTATTCCCTTAATTATCTTCGTTACAGCTGCTGCCATCTTGTCTGTCTTCATCAACTTCCCAAAGCATTCTTCTACCTCCCTCTCCCTCTCCCTCTCCCTATTATCCCTCTCCCTCTCCTCCTTCTCTTCCTATTATCCCTCTTCTAAACTCTTCTATTGCTTTCTTTAATTCTCTCTTCTTGAAATTCTCCCAATTTTTATCTTATCAACAATTACTTACAGTCTGTTGTGATTTTCTCTTCTGTAATTTGTTCCCACTAACTTCCTGGTTCATAAGTTTTACCATTAAGTT